CAGACTATATTGCATGAAAAAACCTTATCAATAAAAAGGGAAACTATAACACACATATTTTCACTTCAAAACTTTACTAAAAAAAACATTGAAGGCTTTTAATATTATTAAGCACTTATTCACTTTTCTATGTTGTTTATATCCATCTCATATACTGTAAACATAATAGGCCCTCCATAGAGCACTCATAGATTTTCATAGATTTCCTATTTTAGCAAGAAGTACAACATGAGAATTTCAATGTGCTATTTAAACAATATACATTTCATGTATTTCATTTCAAATTTAAAATATTTTTTAAAAAACAAGTAGACAAATAATGGAAAATAAATTGTCTACACTGTCTTATTTCACTTGATGGAAGTGAAGTTCCTAATTTTGAATTCCTCACAATCCTGTAATCTGTGAATACATGAATTTCGTCAGTGGGTGGCACATATCAACTACAGCAAGCAATTTTTGTCTTCTGTGCAACTAGAATGAGATCTTAAAGATGACAAACTATTTTTACTAAACTGTCATATAGCAATTTTGTTGCCAATAGAAAGGAACTTGGTTAAAGAGAATAATGTAAAATATAAAAATTAATAATTCATTATGCACCTCTTTGAATTCTTATTGTTTCATAGCCTTTATTATTTCAAGTATGTTAGTCTATAGTCAGTCTATTAGTTCACTATATGAGATTCACTGCGACATTTGAATATTAAAAACGAAAGTGAAAGCATCTAGGAAATTTGAAATCTCTATATAATTTTGATATTATTTTAGTATTACATCCAAACAAGATTCTACCTTGAAGAAAAAGGAAAAAATTAAAAGTAAAGATAATTTTTTTTACTAAAATGTACCAAAATACATTTCTGGAAGTGCTTTATCATTTTAAATATGATGCCACATGGTAAAATGTAGTAACCACAGATTTCCCAAGTTTGAACAGAATAAGGCAAGGATACTAGAATTCCAGTAGAGTAGGAAAATTGATTAGCAACATTCACAAACTTATTTCACTTAAAAGTATTACGGAAGGTTTTGTTTAATACTAACATTTATTAAATAATTTTAATATGTAACACTGTCGGAAATTACTTAACTTTCACTGTGTTATTCTTCTGGCATTTTCTGTTTAAGTCATGCTGGAATCAAAGTTTTAAGGCAAAATCTGTTTCCAACAGTCTAGGCTTAGCCATCTATATCAATATGCCAAAAGAGTATTGGAGAAAAGATGAGAAAGGAGAATTAGTTGTTGCATGAAGAAGAGGAATGGATATAGCCTAATGACTCTAAATTCACCTTCAGTTACTCATAGGAGACTTTAGACTTAACTGGAGGAAAAACTGTGGCAGTGGCCCAGGAAATAAGCAGTCCTGGTTAAGATGTGTTGTTGCTCATTTTTTTTTTTTTTCAGCTCTAGTCTATTGTGGGAAATTACCAATACGGAGTCAGGTAGAAATATAAGGGTATTTAATAGGGAAAAGCCTTACTTACAGAGCAACCTAGCCAGCCGGCGTGGTAGAGGTCTCTACAGCAAGCAGCAAAGAGAAACCGAAACCGAAAATGCAGTCCCACTACGTCACTCTGACCACGCCCTCACAAGCCTGGTCAGGCACACCTGTAGCCAGCCCCTAAGAAGGCGTGGCTACAGCTTTCCCTACACTAGTCCTACAAGGTGAGCCAAAGAAGTCCTTAGAAGTCTGTGTATGACTTCAAGATAATTACTATAGCAACACGGTTCAGACCTCCTTCATAGTTAATTGCTTTCCTCACGATGGTCAGTCCCTTGACACTTTGTTGTTTCTGAAATCTAAGATGACTACTGATTTACTATACTACATCCCTGTTACTTCACCCTTGAAGACCTTCCCCCAATCACACATTCCACATATTGGTGCTTTCGTTTCTTCCCATTGACCACACTTTTCTACTACTTTCTATGTTATAACGTTTTTTGAGTGGCTTTGGAGGCTGTCCTGGAACTAGCTCTTTTAGACCAGGCTGGTCTTGAGTTCACAGAGACCTTCCTGCCTCGGCCTCCCGAGTGCTGGGATTAAAAGCGTGTGCCACCACCACCCTGCTTATTCTAGACATTTAAAAATGAGTTCAGAAGCATTGTCCTGGCAGAGATGGGGGAGGAAATAAATGTGCAAAGAGTATGCATACATGCACCGCTTCTATTTGGTTCTTGTCAACTGTGTCCTCTCAGGGTTTGTCTGCTTGTGCATTACCTGCTGCGATGAGTCACTTTTCTTTCATTTGGATATAATTTGCAGCCCCATTATCCAGTCTAATAACTTCTTACTGAAAGCTAGATATTTAAAACAATAGCTTATAGTCCCTTTGGGATCAGGTCTTCTCCCCATCCATGTTTCTTGTTGCTTCAAGGGTTTTATATCTCATTTCTGTTTATTTTAGTGCCCTTACTATATTAATACTGAACATTCTATATTTCTTGAAATGCTTAGCTGCCACATTCTTCTCTGTAGTTTTTCTTTAGTTCTGGTTTAGTTTATGGCTTGGGCTCTTACAACTTGCTCCTGAAGCTGGAAATAGGGCACACGCCTTTAACCCCAGCACTCAGGAGGCAGAGGCAGACAGATCTCTGTGGGTTTGAGGTCAGCCTGGTCCACACAGAGTTCCAGGTCAACTAGGACTACATAGAGAGACTTCTCAAAGGAAAGAACGCTGTTTTGAAAGATTATATTTCAGAATTAAATAATAAATGTTCAGAATATTTCATGAAATGATGTAAGCCACTTTTTATTTCACTCTGTTCTGAAACAGAGTTTATTTCAGTCTCAGCTATTACCTCCCCCATTTGAGTAGAACATCAAAGAGAGGGAAATGTTATCACTATTATCTTCGCTTGCCATGCAGTAATATGCACAGACATGCACATAAGTACCACCTATTTGTAATATACTGGACATTGTAAAGTCCTGTATGCTACTCTTATTCTTCTTACCAACTTTCGGGATTTTTTAAAGCCAGCATCTTCTTTGTTCTAAATAAATTCATGGACTTAGCCAAATACTGTGTTACTAAATCCAGCTTATTGCTACTGTTCTCAATAATACCCCAGGGATAGGGGTTTTTCCAAGGAACTGAACTCAGAGTCAGGTCAAATAGCCCAAGGCCCTGGGAATAGAATGCTTTAAGGAAACTGTAATAGTTAATATTGAAATAGTGAATTCTTCTAGGGATGGGGCTTAACATAACACTCAAAAGCAGGTCATCTCCAAGTTCACCAGCTGATGTTTTTTCATGGGTTGTGTGCTGTATCACTACGGTAAGAAAGGAACTGGATTAGACTCAAATGTAAACAGTATAATTCCATTGTTTACACCAATGCTCAGTATGTTATTTTAGGATGGATATCTTTTAAGTCAGTTTTATGCCTTTGGTTATTTTCTAAAGCTCAAGATTTTTGTTGTTATTGATTCTCTTTCAACATTTTTATTGCCTTTGTGAAAGAATTCACCTAGATCCTTACTCTGCCAATATGTACGTCTAGTTCTTGTAAATGCTTCTTTACTCACCTTTAATTCTCACGACAGTTTCAACATAAAACACAAAATTATCTAATAAAAGCAAAATGCTTATTTAGTTCCATCCACTACCTAAACTGTATTCACTTTTCCCAATTGAGTAAAAAAGGTATAAATAAGTCATTTCATTTAAGTGAGAATTCAAACAAGTTCATAAATTTTGTTTCTTTGTGTATTAGTTACTTTTCTCATTGATCTGACCAAACTCCTGGCAAGAAGCAATTTGAGGAAGGAAGCTTACAGCTTGAACTTACATGGTCCATCATGGCAGGGAAAGCATAGAAACATGAGAGACAGGCAACTGGTCACATTGACTTGTAGCCAAGAGTGATGAATTTTGCTGCTCAGCTCACTTTCTGCTTCTAATGTAATCTGAGGCCATAACACATGGATGGTGTAGCTGGAGTTCAGGGTGGTTCTTCTTTTCAGTTAATATATTCTAGAAATGCCTTCATACACATTCCCCAAAATAAATTTCCCTGTGACTCTAAATCCAATCAGTTAACAATGAGGCATAACCATCACACTAACAAATGGCTTATTAAATCATTGAAGATTTCATTAATATATATTGAAGTATGTTTCATATTTTCATACATGTACATTATAAATTTTGATCATATATAACCCTCCCTATTACTCACTTTTGTTACCCACCCATTCCTGTCAATCCCCTTCATAGTCACAGCTAGCCCTGTGTCATCATCAGGGTTTTTATTGCTGTGATAAAACACCATGACCAAAGAAACTTGAGGAGGATTATTTTGCTTACACTTCCAGGGAACATTCCGTTACTGAGGGAAATCTGGCTAGAAACTCAAACAGGGCAGGAACATGGAGGTAGGAAGTTAAACAGAGGCCAAGGAGAGATGCTGCTTACTGACTTGCTTCTAGTTGCTGCTTGCTCAACCTGCCTACTTATAATATGTAAAACCGACAATGGTGGGAAGTGATAGTGGGCTGGGCCCTCTCACATTAATTATGAATCAAAAAATGCACCAAAGGCTTGCCCAAAGACCAATCTGGAGGGCACATTTTTTTTTCAGTTGAGGTAGCCTCTCTCAAAGCAATTCTAGATTGTACCAAATTGACATAAACAAGCCAGAACAATTTACCTTGTGACCTTGACCCCTTTCTAAGCCGACCCAGAGGAAGAGTAGATGGGGGTAGAAGGAAGGCAGTATGGGGGGAAAGACAGGAGGAGGGCAGGGAGGGGAAAATGCAGTTGGCATGCAAAATAAATGAAAAATTTAATTTATAAAAATAAACCCTTAACACTTTTCCTTTCATGTTCATCCCTAAGATCTCATGTCAATATTAATATCACAATATAAAATATTCTAACCATTTAAAAATTTTACTTTTTTATTCAAAAAGTTTTTCATAGATTATATTTTGATCACACTTTTTGCCTCCTCCCGATTCCTCCCAAATCGTTTCTACCTCCCTACCCACCAACTTCATGTTCTCTCTCATTCTCTCAAACATGAAAATCCATACAAACAAATATTCCACCTTGTATAGGTCCAATGTTCTGTACAAATTCAAACACATTCAAAGCTCAAAGTCTCTTTCAAAATTCAAAGTTTCTAAACTGTGGACATTTATAAAATTTTTAAAAATAGGTTAAATATTTTCTAACTCCAAAGATAAAACCCCAGGTCACAATCATAGTCTAAACAAAGAAAATCCAAACTTCAACAGTGTAAATAATTCAATGTCCAATGTCTGGGATTTTTGAATGATCTTCTTGGCTCCAAAGGGCTTGGACAGTCACACATCACTGGCTTTTTCATTCCCAGGAAGTGAAGTTTGTCTCTAATACTCAGGACACCTCTACTCCACTACCACAGCTACTACTGTCTTTGGCAGTCATCCCATAGTACTGGCACCTCCAAAATGTTCTGATCTCCACTGCAGCTGTGATACACATCCACCAATAGCCTATTCTGATTACTCTTAAGGGACCCCAGCCCTGGCACACAGTGCCAAGCCACAGCTTAACTCAATGACCACTTCAAAACCAGCATCACATTACAAACTTTGATTGCTAGAATGAGATATAGCCTCAGCTCCTTTTGGACCAGAGTTTCGGTGTGCTGACTGGGAGGAAATACTCCGTAAGATTTCACCTCAAAAACACTGGTCCCTTTTAAATTATGGCTAATTCACCAGTGTCTCATAACCAGTATTCATTGTCTCAGAAAAACAAAGGCTTTATTCCAACTTCTTTTCTCTTGTTAATCACAACAGATTCCTCAACTATGGCTGTTGAGATACCACAGACTAACACCAAATATTAAAAGAAAAAGAAAGCCACAACTTTATGTGTGCCTTGACCAACAATAGCTCTTAATTCCATTTTATCCTAACATCCAAGACAAGAGAAAAAGCAAAAATTGAGATGTAATAATTAATAAATATAGAAAGATACCACAAGGTCAGAAATGAGAGATAGGAAATTTACAAGGTTTTTGTAGAAGTAATCAATATATTTAAGTTGAATCACTTTACAATGTCAGACCCTTGGCAATAGCTCTTAATTCCATTTTATCCTAACATCCAAGACAAGAGAAAAAGCAAAAATTGAGATGTAATAATTAATAAATATAGAAAGATACCACAAGGTCAGAAATGAGAGATAGGAAATTTACAAGGTTTTTGTAGAAGTAATCAATATATTTAAGTTGAATCACTTTACAATGTCAGACCCTTGGCAGGTTACTTTCTTTCCTTTTTTATTGTGAACCTAACCTTTAACAGCTGAGCCAACTCTCCAGCCCTGAAACATTACTTTCTAATGAATGATTTCTCTGCTATGAGATTTTCCACATTCTCCCATTAGTAAACACTAAAAAAGACTAGACAAGTTATTGAAAACAAGCTTCTGAATCCAGCATTACAAGCAAACTATACGTGCAAGGGTAAGCCATTTGGCTTCCTTGAGCCCTTTATTTGGGATTGCAAAGATTAGCTATTTCTACATTT